ATATCAGTCAGTATAACAGGCCTACATTACTCTCTTTATTTGCTGTAGTACAAAGAGTCGATATTTTTCTAAGACCATTTAGTGCGTCACATAATAAAATACACAACGGCTGTAGCCTGATTATGCTTTAGGAGCTGTAAGTGTGTGTGGTAGGCAGTGTGTATGTGTGTGTGTGGTGTGTGTGTGTGTGTGTGTGTGTGTGTGTGTGTGTGTGTGTGTGTGTGTGTGTGTGGTACAGTATGTAGGTGTGTGTTGTACAGTGCGTAGATGCGGCGGACAGACGGGTCTCAGTTGGTTTGGTGTCCTCTGCTTACTTTTAATTTAATTTAATTTAAAATCTTTATTTATACAGATAGGCCCTACATCCCATTGAGATCATTGATCTCTTTTTCAAGGGAGACCTGCTCAAGTAGTTCCACATGAAACATAAAAACATAAATAGAACAACAAAAGGACATCATACAGCATCATTTACATAATTATCCACATAAACAGGTACCAATAGCTTCCGATTGAGTAGCATCCAACCGAGCTTTAAAAACATTTAGTGGCACCAGATTGTTCAGTTTCCATTTAATTTGCAGACTATTCCAAGACAGAGGAGCTGCGCATCTAAAAGCTGTCTTCCCTAAGACAGTCCTAGCAGTTGGCACATTTAATAAAACCACAGCATGCGATCTCAGGCAGTAGCCACTTACAATTCTCCGTGAGATCAGGGAGCAGATATAAGATGGAAGTTTCCCTAACATGGCTATGTATGTTAGGGAAACTTCCATCTTATATCTGCTCCCTGATCTCACGGAAAATTGTAAGTGGCTTATTATTATTACAAGTTAATACTTGTAAATACAACTTTTGGCCCGTAATTTCAATTCCCCATTTCAGCGACCAAAGAGAGGGGGGGGGGATATATCCAGTCTCTGATTGTGTTACGTTATTATGAGAGTGCTGAGCTCTCATACTTTAAATTGTATATATTTATATAAATATATTTGTGTGTGTGTGTCCGCATTTGTGCCTGTTATTGTCTCATTATACGGTATACCGCACTCTCAATTAATTCAAAGTAAATATGAGGGGGAACAATGTTCAGCTGATCTAACAGAGATACAGCGCTATGACAAAACACTCGACAGCTGATGCAGCTGTTGCCACGTAATAATAAACGGACGTCGCTTTAATATGACCGCTCAGAGGAGAGGAGTTCTCATTTCTTTAAACGTCCTCTCTCCTCGGTTCCCCTCCTCGGTCCTCCGCTCGCATCTCCTGTGGGCGGGTCTAAGTCTCGAGGAGGGGAACCGAGGAGGGGAAATTTGAGTATTGAGAAGCCTCTACAGCCGGAAGAAATCTGCCACTTCCTTACAGAGACCCACCTCCAACACACACGAACGCGCACATGACCAATGAGGGCACGAGATAAGTTTGTGCCGGTTTGTGCATATATGGAAGGCTGACAGGCAGGTAGGCCATCCAGTTACTTTAGCCGGGCCGGCTCAGATGATTGGTCGTGCTTTTTACGGTACTACGGCTTCCACAGATGATATTTTTTATGGATTTTTTGTCAAAGCACTTAAGATATTCATTGCTATCGGGATGTTAAGAGCATTCCATGGAATATAACAAAAAGTGTATCTCGAGCCGGTTTCTCAAACTTACCTACCCCACCTTTTAACATAATTGACTTAGGAAATGACAGTCTGGCTAGCGAGCTAGCACTAAACTAGCAACTATACAAATGTCGCTTGCTAACACAAAACTATCTACTGACATTTACATTAGCTCTGTTAACCAGTATTAAATTAAATGTACACTTCACAGTGTGTTTGAAGCCATATTCATGGACAGCATAATTATATTATCTTTTAGTTTATTAATGGCTAGTTAGCAACCATGCTAAAACAATAAAGCTAAGTTAGCCAACTAGCTATAAAAGATGGATGGTAGCTAGCTTGTTAGAAACGTTAACGTTACGCCAGACATTGCACGTAATGTACACCTCTAATTTTATAAACCATAACAACTTGTGTTTGTAACTATGACTCAATACAAACTCAATTGCCTGAAGGAGAGGCTACTGTAAACTGTTACATATTGTGCACATTAACAGGGCTGAGGTCTGAAACCTGAGCCCTCAGGTTTGTCACTTTACCTTCATGAATCCTGTGTCCTCCACCTTTACATCCTTTTTCTTCACTGTCACATTAGTAGCAATATTTTTTGTCTAGTGATAAGTTTAAATTTGAGAAAATATAAATCAAAATAAAAAGTTGTGTTTATTCAACAGAAAAAAATATTTGTGTTAATGACTCGTACGGAGCCCCCCTGGTGACATTGGTGAGAAAAATATGAATACGTAGCCATATTTTTTATGAAATGGATAAACTATGTGAATAACACGGAGCCCCCTAGGGGACATGGAGAAGAAAAAAAAAATTATTTAAAAAAAAAAAAAAAAATGTTTTGCGAGATATCGCAAAACCTTTCCGAGATCTCGCAAAACCCCTTTGCGATATCTCGCAATACTTTTCTCGCAAAACCCCGTTGCAGTTTGTAGACGGTCCCTAAGCACTCCTCTCCCTCCTCAAGCTGCAGATTGTGACCAATTCTTGATGTTTAGCTCGGATGACGGCGCGTATCGAACTGTTCTGATAGAAACGACTCTGTAGCTCGTTGTCTACCTTGCTATGATTGTTTGTATTTTTACAACGTTATCTTCATGAGTTATTGATCCGCGAAATTCGAATCTGTCAATAACTCAGCTCAGAGGGACGTGCATGTCCCCTGCTCTGAGTGTTCTCTTGAGGTGTCTTCACTTATGTGAAACCCTTTATATATACAGTCTATGTGTGAAACCCGTGCCTATTGCCAAGCACTGATGTTATATCTTTATATTTAAGGCCAAGCTCAAAGTAAAATTGATGAACCGCTCCATTGTTGTGGTTTCTGTGTTGCCGTAGCAGCCGAACTGACCAGGAAGTACATTGAGCTAAATGAAAAGTATTGTGAGATCTCGCAAAAGTATTGCGAGATCTCGCAAAGGTTTTGCGATATCTCGCAAAGGTTTTGCGATATCTCGCAAAACATTATTTTTTTTTTTTTTTTCAAATACATTATTTTTTCTTCTCCATGTCCCCTAGGGGGCTCCGTAGAATAATGACATCCCTTTTGAAACTATAAGAGTTGTAGGCTCTATCTTTCACCCTTGTTTGCTGTTCAATGTTGACAGATTCCCTCTTTCCTCTGGCTTTGTTCACCTGATACCAGACGCGTGGCAGCTATCAAAGGAAGACAATACCATCAATACAATGCTCAACGCTGGGATCTGCAGCACGTTTGACACCTGATTTATCTCAAGCACCCATTCAGATTAGTTAACTATCCAACAAAGAGCTCTGCGTTGGAGGAGAGGGTGTGGTCTGATACTCTGGGGAGTTTGAGGGGTTAACCTTGACATCTGGCCCCCGATCATCCAACAAGTACAGGCCAGCTGCTAAAATAAGTCTGCTTTTTCCCCTAAAAACACCTCATCCATCTGCTGAATTTCTCCTCATATAAGTTTCCCCATGATTGCCTGAGGCACTTCCATTCACAGACGCGTGCTGGGTGACACTGATCCCTGCTATGACGCCCATCCATATTTAAAGGGGAGCGCAGGTGACCTGTGGGTGGCCCTCTGTGGCACGCTTGGGCTCTCCAGCACCCACAGAATCTTACATAACATGCTTGTTGGATATTTCCTCAAATTACAGCAATATGATATAATGCACAAAGAACTAATGGGCTTTAATGTAGAGGGCACTCAGATGACACGTGCCGTACAAAAGCTGGGACCTGTGAAATTCGATCAGTTCATGAATGTGTGAGGATGACAATGAGTATTCCAATTAGCTTATGAATACAACAGGTGACACCTACATAAAGCCCAATTACACACTTATTTGTGCTCTCCCAAAGCTGACTATAAGTTAACACAGGAGGATAACAAATTAATCATGACGCAAGCTGCCAATTTGGTCTCCAGCTAGAATTATCTGGAATTTAACATTTAGGCCTACATCTAGCCACATGTAAAGCAAAAATGAACTGTTTCATCAGCACATGTGGTTCTGTATCTATTTCTGTCATGAGGCATTCAAAGATTTTAGAAATTGTGTTGCAAGTAATTTGTTTTTTCACGGTGTTGTGGTTACCACCGCTTTGCATCTTCCACCATCAGCTCTTTCGCAGTGCCGCAGTGTTCAGTAGCAGCTGCCGCTGGGTCGTTGTGAACCTCTTCAGGGACTTCTACAGAAGAGACGACAGGGGAGAGGTCATGTTTTAACCTACTATGTGGCGGGAAGAAAAACCCACCAACAAAAGCATCAGGCGGTAAACAACACAAGTGTCTCTTGTCCCAAAAGACTTCACACAGTCTTGTTGCACACATAGGCAAATTAGAGGGGACCTTTAACAAGTAATCTTTACTCAGTTGTCAAACGATGCCACTTCTCCCTTTACCGGGAAGGCCATGGGAATTTCTCAAGAACAAAAAAGGAAGAGCTGCCTAGAGCAAGGGAGAAAACAAAAGCTTTGACACAAATCAGTACAATTTAAAACACTAATCATGGTTTAACTGCCAGCGAGATCGTAGTTAATTGAGAGTGGATTTAATTTATCCTTAAGAATGATAGGGACAGGAACAGATGAATAGCAACCCACTTTATGGATGATTATCAACCCAATTTACAGTGCAGTTTGATAAACCACATATGCTGCAAAATGTAAGATGCAGATAACATAATTAGAATGTTGTTGAAATTCAGATGTCAAGTATGTAAAGACAGAGGGTGCCGTATTGTCATACTGATATTCTGTACAAACTGTGAAGTCCACTGAGACAAATGTAACATTTGTGATATTGGGCTATATAAATAAACATTGATTGATTGATAGACTTAAACCACAATTACATTTGATTTTTTTATAGAAATGTTTGCCTTAAAAAACTATACAGAAGCACATTTCATTTACAGTGAGTTTATTGAAAATGACATTGGATTTCAATTATAATGATGGTGATGATATCTAAAAGGAACAAGTCAAAACTGTAGTACATGGATGAATTTAAGAAATGCATCACCAAATTCTTCTGAATTAGTGCTTGCGTTGGCACTTTATAGTCATCATTAACAGCATCATACTGTTATTATATTACATACATTTTCTAAACCCCAACGCTTTTCCAGAACTACAATAATACAAAAAAAGCCATACATTCTTGTACCCACACATCCAGGTATGAAAGTCTTGCATATAGGCTATTATGTGAAAACAAATAAAGACATTTTTTTCATTCAGAGTTAATTACATTACAATAAGGTAGTGTGACGAGTTGATGAAAATGATCCCAATCTTGAGGAATCAATGGGAAAAAACGACATATTTGGCAAAAATATAACGTTTTACATAATCAAAACATTTGATTGACATGCAGAAATGACAAGAATCAGCCATTTACTTCCATTTTTTTGACATTACAAGGCTTGTGGCTGAGTTCACATTGACTACCTTGAGAAACACGCGAGTATCAAAATGTCATATAAGGTCTCCACCATGTTGGGGCACTAAACTCAACTCACATTCTGTTTATTTGTGTTGGCACCTCTTGTGCACCAGCCTCCATACGATTGTGTAAACTCAATGCTAACTGGCGAGATCTTTTATAAACACAGTCATCATTTCCTTCAAAAACTGTGTGCCACATTACAAGCACCGTCAGGGGATTTAGAGGGAGCTTAAGTCTTAGTGTCTGGCAGCTGTATGTGGCCTATGGCAAGCAGCATCATATTATCAGTAGAAGACTTAAAAAGCTGCCAGAGGAGGATTGTGAGATCCGACTTGAGCTTTATGCCATCTTCATCAAAAGGTTCAATGCATACTTCGTCAACATGGAAAAAAATCCCCATATGTTTGCACTGTTTGTTTTCTTTGAATGGGGTGGACAACACTAACAAAACATACTTTTATGCATTTGCAAAATACTCTATATTAAATTTGAATTACAACACAGGCCAAATTGTATAGGACATGTTGCCTCCACGCTTTGCACATTGGAACATTGGCATTGATTGGATGACAAATATTATGCAAAAGAGCAGAGGAAGAAGTGCAATAATGATGCAGGGGTGGTTGTGTTTTTGTTTTTGCAAATGCACCCCTTTACACATGTTGTGCTGGGAAAATGATTTGAAAATGCTTTTCATTTAGATTAGCGATTTATTCTGACATCTTCCAAAGCACCAAATTATGTTAAAGCATATAAAGCAAATGTAGCAATCAAGCTGAAAGAGAATATGACAGGCAAAATTAATTAGAACTAAGCAACCCCTCATTTTTCATTTGAACTAAATAACCTCGGGGTCCGAATGTGTTCAACATTTATTTATTACGACCTTGTCGTTTTTTTCATCGTTTGAGCAAAGCAGCGGCGCTTTGGGGCAAATAGTTGACCTGAGTGTAAATCACCTGTTTCATTCTCTGCTTTACACTATAATGCACCATATGTCATACACTAAATACAGAAGCAACAGACCATGTCTATAAAAGCTGGAATATCCCAACTACTTTGCCAGTATCAGTTTTGCTCATATAGGTGGCAATTACTTTTCTTAAGTTTTACATTTTCATTCCTATCTTTGAATTTTTATTTGGCTTAACATGAATTCGACTGAATTTCAGACCTAAGTAAGCACATTTGCAAACATTTTACAGCACAGTGAAATGCGCAAAAAGTCAAAGTGAGGAGAAACTACAAAGTGACTATACAGTATGTACAATGGAAGTATTGAGACTTCGTCAAAGGTCCATTTACAACTAGCAATACAGAGTAGTTAAAGCAGTTTAAACAATAAAAGCCTGTAACACGAGTTCACACTTCAGCACACGTAGGAAGGCAATCAGTGAGAAGCTTCTCCGTAATGTGAAACAGATTATTATCCACATATTTTCTTAATTACCATCACATAATACTCATCATTTCGTGAAGTGATTCAAACATGTTTGGCAAAATATATGCAGATCAAATAACCCTCCTCCAATACGAAGGAATTTACCCAACATCTGTGTCACATCATCGCACAAAACAATCACTTCTTGTCCATAATGAAGATGTCTGAGTGACGTCAGAGTAATAGAAGGAAGGAGTGGGGAGGGGAATTATCTCTTTGGATACACCAAATACTTTAAAGGCAAGCAAGGTTCTATGGCCTTGTAAGTGTTTTGTATATCATTATACATTTCAGAATCACGTATTTCAAATCGAGCAGGATACATTCAGTAACAAGACAAGTCCACGAAGAGATCGCATACCTTCACATGAAGTAACTCAGCAGCTGAAATAATTAGTACATGACAAAACTGTTTTTCCAGTGGTTCATGAAAAAATGTGTTTTGACATTCCATAGATGCAGTGTAGCACTCAACTGTGATTTGGTATCATACAGTGTAAAGGTCAACAATTGTATAAGACTGAAAAGTAATTACAAAATAGATAGAAACACCAGAAGGAAATACCAGCATAAGAACAAAGTCACCGGAAAAATAAGATCGATAAATCAACTACTATAATACGTGTTTAACACTGTACATGAAGCTGCTTCATCTAAAAAGGAATACAAAACTTGAATGTAAACCTAAACATCAGGAAGTTATTCAACTATTGTTGAGCATCTAGCTCGAACACAGGTAAAGGAGATACAAATGATTCACCTTTAAGTAGTCATTTTGTTCATTGTAGTACCAGGAGTGCGCTCCGAAAGCAGCTAGGGGTGTAACGAAACAACAATCCATCGATTCAGTGACCAACAATGCAATATCTCTGGTGCAAGTGCAAACATTCATACAGATATGCTTTCATTTTGAAATCCCTAAAAAGGCAGGTTTCTTTTTGGACCAATTCCCATCTAAATCACACCGCCCTCCTACACATTTAAAGATGGTTTTTACATCAATGTCAAGTCATTTTTTTGTAGCTATCTTTTGTAAATGTAGTTTTGTTACAAGGGCATATTACATCACCTGGCATTGATCAATAGAAACACATATTGCATTATTGGTGGAGAATCAACGTTAAACCATATTGTGGTGAAACGTGTTACACCCTTTAACGCTGCCCCTTATTTCAGTTAAACATGGAAACAACATATGTTGTTGTGACATTAGCATCACAGATTGAAGCGACATATGAGATGACATACAAGTGTGAAATGAGGACATTTTGCTTCTGACACCAGCTGTCACACTGATCTGCAACCTGAATGACACTCATTGGCTGTTTACCTCGAACAGTTATGCACTGGTCATAATTAGTACCGTGAAGTGGTGAAACACGTTCATATCACTGTATATTCATTTTAGAATTTGTGTTTATAACACAGAAAAACGGACATAATGAGGCACAGTACATAATTCATCTGTGGCTAGGTAAACACATATTAAAGCCGATGTAAATACATATAAAACTGTATCAGTATGACACTTATGAATGATAATATTTGTTGGGACTTTTACCATCTGTTGAGTGTTAAACATTAGAAAGAGTGATGAGGGAGGGGGAACAGTAGCGTTTTTACCATTGTACAAATACATTGTTCATATGTAACTGAGCTATAACACAGTTATAAATAAAGATTGTTCAGCATAAGTCCACATGTGCATCTTAGTACCATAATTCAATCTTCTCAAAATTGTAATAGAAGGAGATGGTTGATCTGTAGAGGCTGTAACAACATGACTTTTTCCAGTGAATCAAACAATATTAAAAGACATGAGTTTGACTCAAAGCTTAGATTATAATGTAAACAACAACATTACCAGCAGAATGTAAAGCAAATTATTATTATTATTGCACTTAAAGTCAGTAAAATGATCCCCTCCAGCAAATGACTGAGACACTAATAAACTTAATTGATAGTCATCACAAATAATAATTAAAAAGAATAGAAAGACAGTAACTGTATGTTTGTTCATTCGAAACCAGATTTCTAGATACTTTCCAGCAACTTCTTACAGTAACTGTCCTCCAGTCTTTCTAAGAATACACATCTGTAGAACAGAGGAGGCTTCCTCCTCTGGATGTGTATCGTAGTTTGAGACTCCAGTGTAAACACAGCAACTACAGCTTCATCTTCTCGACCCACTTGACCGTGTTTCAGCAAACAGGAAGCATAACTTCAAATGCACCATCTGGTGAACTTGGATCTGGCTGCATTTGCACCTTAAGAGCTTTTGAGCCAATGACGGCAGCTGTATGTGCAACATGTGGGGAAGTGCATACCATATTGTCAGAAGAAATTGATTTGATTGGACTTGAATCAATCATTGAATTTCTCTCATCCTGTACACCGTAAAATAGGAATGCCAAAAAAAAAATGTAAAAGCTACACCCATTGAATAAAACGTTCTTTAGGCAAGGACATAAACCATTGAGCAATTTGGCTTTGATCAATACCATTTGTTCTCACTTATTTGACCACATGAGTTCCTCCTTCATTAGTAACTGTTTGTCTTTCATTTCTTTTTACCAATTTTACCCGCCTTCTTTTTGGGCTCGTAGGGTGTCCGTAGAATGCTGGGCGTCTCCTCCATCACGCGCACGAGAAGGTTGTCGATGTAGTTCTCCAGCTCTCTGATGTGGGCGTCTTTCTTTTTCACCACCTCTTTCTGCTTGATGAGTTCCCGCACAACTTCCTCGAAGGACAGGTTGCTGTAGGCGGCCAGGCTTTCCTGTTTCACCTCCTGGAAATAAGAAAAAAGGACTTAGTTTGAGGCTCCATAATCACCATATTTCACATGGATCTTTTGTAAAAGTAGCCTGAATGATCTTCTATGACATGTCAGCATCTGATAAGCTGATCACGATGCGAAGGAGAAAATAGATGAATTAGACGTGTTGGCCTAACGTGATTGTCATGTATTTTTCTCTTGTTCTCTGCTGCTAATAAAGGCTAACACAGTTGTTAAGAAGAGAGTGCTGTCAGGAGATTTAGCGCTCACATGTCAATAATGGCAGATGCTATGATCCAATACTGTGTAATGAGAATAAAGACATGTTTAACAGCTCTAATGAGACTTCACTTTGACACTAAAGCATTTAGCTAGAGAAAGTAGTTCTTTAGTTTTAACTAAGGCTGGGCAATATGAAAAATCAAATATGACAGTATTTCTGACCAAATACCTCAATATCAATAATTGTGTGGGATTTTAGCCTTTGAGAACCATTTACATGCACACAAACCTATACATATAAATATAATACACTACAGGAAAGGGAAAGGGAACCCCCCCCCCCCCCCAAAAAAAGCATAATACGGCCTTTTTAAAACCAGTAAACGACAACACTTACAATTTTCAAAATCAAAGAAAATCATATCAAAATGATTATATAGTATCAATACATATACCTGTACAGCCTTAGTTTAACACATTTCAAAGCATGACCTCTCTGACTTAACAGGCACAAACTCTAAAATGCCTTTAAGAACTTAGCAGGTTTCCCAAAAACACAGAATCTTTGTTTTGACGGGGGAAATGCCAGGCTGCATATTTCTGCAATTAAAGGTCAGGCTGATAAATACCAAAATAAGGATGCAACCCAAGCCCAGCGTTGCTCTTTGAGGACAACCTGCTTGGACGGAGCCGTGTGGTACGGTATGTGCAGATCGTATTGCGCGGGTACGAGAGGAGCTGTAATCGTTTTTAATGAGGGACCACTTTATCGCTTCAGTGCTGGGCATCCTCCCCCGAACGGATAGAGCAGCAAAGCCTTCACCCTTGTTTAAAATACCACACTTATCAGCTTCCACTCCCATGCACCATTCATGCCTCCACTAGCCGGGTAAAGACAATGCAGAAAGACCTGGAGCGGGACTGCTTACCAGGTATCTTATCGCTTCTAACAGCAAGGAGGCTACTGTGGGGAGACGCGGACCAAAATGAAATATTTGCCACCGAGATTAAATGTCCGATGTAAGAAAGGGTTTAAGAACAGATCTCTGTAACCTATTCCTGGCACACACACAATACAGAAAAGGTATTTCACCGAAAGATACTGCACTTGGAGAGGGAATACGAGAAGTGACAGCAATATGTTGTGTCGCATACAAGCATGTGTACGTGCATAGCTCTCTCTCACACACACAGCATAATAATCAGAGCTTCAGTGGCTGGTGACAAAGGCCTGGAAAGGACCATGAATTGGCAAAGTGATGATGACCGTTTCCCTGCGATCAGTAGTGAGGAGAAGATAAGGCGCACACTTGGCATTCTCCAGTTGTGTCATTACAGTTTCTAATGAGCTCAGCTTTGAGAATCTAAAAGCTCAGTCCTTTGAAATCTCTCACTGCCTGCACCCCCCCCCCCCTCCCCCTGTGTGTGGTTAATTAGGGCCTTGAAGCGGAGGAAATGGGAGCTGCCATTTCTGTGAGGCACTGCGGCATGCACAGGGGCACATGTGTGGATACCGACAGCCCTCAACACCCACAAAGAAAGGTGAGGAAAGCTATCATCTGCATTCTCCTTCTCATTTAGGCGTCACTTCAGCCACTGCTCCTTCATTAATACTATTTGCTGTGTAATAGCTGGCAAATTTGACTTTTCTATTTCAAATTGGAGATACAAAGTACAAAAAGGGTAAAACGCCATGTACAAAAAATGTAACAATCATTAAAAACAGAAGAACAAATGACATGCTTTTTCCTGACTCCAATTACGGAATAACCCAGCACTATGACTGCCCTCACAGAGGGTCATCTCACACCACTTCAAATTACGATCAGATCAGACATGATGACCGATGTGTGCAGCTGCTAATTAGTTGAATGGCACAGTCGGATTCTTTAGAGGACTCAGAGATCAATGTGGCCATCTGCTTTGTCTAATCAAATGACCAAAAAAACAATATCACGACAAATCATGTCTTTCTTACCTTTTTCTTGCCGTATATGTCTTTCTTCTTATGGCCAAATGTGATGTCTTCATTTGACTTTTTATCACTGCAAAGCAATCAAAGACAATTCCCATGAACACATTAAAGTGACCGTCGTAGCCTATGAAGAATTACAATATGTGATGTATTTGCTACAGAAGTTCACCTATCAATAATATACTTGAAAACAGCCTTTTGGTATTCCTGCACCGCATTACAGAAGGACCACTGAGCTACTGTACGACAAAGGCAGCAGTAAAGATGATGGACGAGTGCCTAAAGAGATAAGTGGTTAATTGGGTGGTCTATCTCTGCAGAGGATCTCATTACTATAGCTCAGAGGGCTCCGTTATCAAGCCCAGGCCCTCTAAATAGCCACTAATGACACCTTCAGCTCTGATAAACCAGAACTCAGACACAGTGCCCACCAACTCTTTATGCAACACTGGGAGTAGAGGCAACGGGGCTCGGTGGAGAGGTTTGAACAACAATACTTGCCAACAGAATGAAAGAGAGAGAGAGTAGGGGGGTTTCATCAGATGGGGAGATTTCAATCAACAAGGTATTCCAAACTTTAAGGGAATGTTGTAACCAATATCCTGTGGTTCAGTACTGGGTGTCCAACAGGGTAGCAAGGGCAAGTTTGGAGACTGTGAGAGGATTGGTGGAACATGATAAGAAAACATGCAGTATATGCTCTTATAATCTAATGTCAGACGAGACAATACTTAAACATTTTGTTTTTGATTTAGAGCGCTTCACACTTTCAATGTGCTTCCATTAACTGCTTGTATTTGCCACTGATAGGCTCAGAATGTGTGTGACAACTATTTGGAGGGGATCTGTTGTTACTGTTGTTATTGTATCCAAACAAGTGTGAATACCTGCATAATAAACATGTAAAATCAGCAATATAATCAGCCATGATATAGAACATATTTCCGATGACTGTTAACTATGTTTTATGAACCCAAACACACACATGCTCCGACAGCAGCGGCACCCCACCAGAGCTGTGTGTGGCCTGTACTACAAAGTAGGATTTTCTGTTAGCATGTTTGTGAACATATGCTGCAAACCACGCCCCTTTTATGTGAACACGCGCATAACCAGACTGAGGAACACTAGGTTGACATACTGCTTTTGTTAGGGTTAGTAAAGCCAGAGAACATGTTGAACTGGCTTCAAGGTACAGGCCTCTGGTGAAGAGTAAAGAAAAAGGTTTGATTTTCCATAGGGCTCTTCCATACCGTCAGACTGAGCCCGTCAGGGGCCAAAACAAGCACTTTGAGTGGAAGGATATTACTGCAGTCCATTCTCCAGTGGCTGTCTACAGCCTTCTTACACAATACTGAAACAATTGTGGTCACTATTAGTCACTTATAAAGAATATATAGAAATATAAAGAAACCATGGGGCGCTTGCCTCATAAATGTTTTTTGATGAGAGGCTACAAAAATATACATGAGCATTAATTATAGCTTTGGTTAACCAAAAGGAGAGACATTTACCGAAGGTGCTGCCTTAGGAGGAAGCATTCATTTCAAATTAGGCTCTTTAAACCCAAGAGGGATAAATAATAACTTGAAGGCATTTTTGTAGCATCTTCTGGAATATATGTGTCCTCAAATAGCTGATGTATTTGAGAACTGAAAGTGTTTTAAGGGTTGAGTTTAGATATACAGATTGACTTTGAAGTGTGTAAGGGTTAGTCATTATTATTGTTTCGTGAATATAAAAGAGAAACAGAATATGTTCCTTTGTATTGAAAAAACATTATTCAAAGATATCTGTACCTTTCCCATCATCATGTCTTAATGGACATGTATCTAAATGTCTGTATTGATGCAGAGTAATAGATGTACTTTATAAACTGAATGAGAGTGAGCTGGTGTTTTAATTAGGATACAATCATACAGAGCAAAGAAAGACAGTATACCTGGTTTTGTAGTTGGAGATGAAGGGGTTAGTGTCTCCACTGAAGGGGTTGGGGGAGCACAGGTCTCCAGAACTGCCCGATCGCCCCCCATAGTTGGTCTTGCGGCCTTCCTTCTTTCCAGTCACGCGTTCCAGTAGGCTGACCTTCTCCTTTTTCTCCTTCCGCTCCGGCCGGTCCCACAGCTGCCCGTGCTCCCCCTCAAATGGGTTGCGGTTGCGTGGGAGCGTGGCATACTTCTGTGGCAGGGTGTCACTGATATCAGTGAAAGGGTCACTGTGTGCCTCTCCGTCCTGGTAGCCTGGCACCTCGCTCTGGGAACGCCTGTGAGGGCCGCCTGCAAGACAAACCAAAGGGAGTACATCAACTGCATACTTCAAGATGCACTTATCTGAACAATGTATCAATGCACTAATCACAAAAAGGCCACATTTGTTTCCGTTTTGTTTTAATATATGTGATATTTCTAACTTGAGATGATCACATGGCCAGAAGTCATTGTAATGTAACCAGGGCCGGCCCTTAGCATAGGCAGTATAGGTGAATGCTAAGGGCGCATCAACCCATCGGGGGCGCCAAACATTTCAAAAATTTAAATTTCATAACACAATTTCCCGATTTTGGATCAACAAAGGACATCTTATTATCTTATACTGACATAACTACGCCTATATTGCGTACAGGGCCCATAAACTATGGCGCACCCCCCAAAATCAAGTTGAACTGCCCCAGCCCCAGTAAAAACCAGAGGTTTATGTGAAATTGTTCTTTTTTTTAAAATAATGGTTTTAGTGTGCAATTATAGGTTTTAATTTTGTGTGAGTGCTCATTTAAAATAAATCAAACTCCCAAAAAACGTATCCAGCTTCTGTGTGCTTTTATTAACATTGGGGGGAGAGCTTTAGAGAGCTCTCTCCTGAAAGACTGAGCAGCTCTGATAACCTCAGCTCAGTGAGGTAAAGGCACACCTTTATATGATCATTATAGTTATAAAAAATAAGAGAATAGATGAAAAACAGGTATAAAATACTATATGACAGTACAAAGTTGTTAATTAATAAACAAGAATAGAGTTTAAAAGGGGATTGATTTGTAAAATATCTGCTTACAGTTCTGTTTCATATTGATGTTGAGAGATGTATCCATAGATCTCTTCATGTTGCTTTCAAAGTGCACCAGATTGATGCTTTCAACTTCAATATTAAGAACACATTCGGATTGTTGCCTGACACCTTTCAGCTGCCCCTGACAATAGTAAGAATTGAAGTGCATCGGCACAAACCATAATGTATCCTAAATTAGCAAATAGCATGATTGCATATCAATAACTGACCTAAAAATACATCACCAGATACATATTTGTTGTGATAATCTTTTTAATTTCAGTCAGTCCTTATCCATCCTTTTGTCCTTACACAATGCAGGACATTAGTACATTTTCTATCTTTATCATTACTATATTGTTTTGGGTAGTTGTGCGTTATCATGTTCTAGCCCTTTCTGTTTGATCTCTTTCTTTCTGTTGTTCACATTGGGAGTATTCTTCACATTGATTTACAGCTTCTGCAACTCAGGGAGAGAGGGGGCAAATGGGAGGCCAATTATACTGGTTAGAAACAGAGGTCAATTAAGGTCACGGATTGATAGGATTGACCTAAATAACTAGGATAGTGAAGATTGTATACCTTGTTGTGTAAATATCTTTCTTTCTCCATAGCTGTGACTTATATTGACCTCTACTGATGGCCACTACAAATTGCAACAGCATCCTATATTGACAATAAGTCAGTCACACAAGAAGAAGCCACTTCATTAAGAACAGGTTGACAGCCAACGTTTTTTTTAAGTAATAGCGATGTGAAATAGTTCCATTTTAGTGCTCGAGAATGACGCCTTTTATTCTACAGATATAGCAGGAATGTTTGAGATACAAGGTAGATCTCTGATCATCAGTGACTCGGTTAATAACTGGAATGATTGTTATTTAAAAAAAACAGTAACTCCTGCACGCATTTACCAACCGCTAAAAAATGACATAATTCAACTGCCTTATAAACAAGAAATCTGGAAAGAAATAAAGAGTTTTGTTCCTCACCACTTTCTTCTATGGAGTTCATGGAATCCAGTTTGGGTCGGAAGTGAGTCCCAATGAGATCGGACATGGAATGGGCTGCAGAGAGTTTGTGGGCCCCAGAGAGCAGCGGCCTCTTGGCCTTAGCTTCAGGCTGGGGTTTCTGGGGCGAGGGACTGACGGTTTGGCTCTGCGTCGCTGGCAGCAGAGCGAGGCAGGATGGCAGAGGACGTGTCACTGAAGCCGCTATCGTGTTTGCGACCTTTCATTTTGTCTTTAAGTTTGGAAAAAGGCGAGCGGGGCTTCTCCTTCATGGAGAGGTCGAACATGCTGGCAGTCATGTTGTTCCTCATGAACTGGATGCTCACTTGGATGCGGCCTCGTTCTTTCCTCTTCTTCCCCGGCTTAGACTCCAAGGGATACCAGCTAAAAAATGAAAGAGGAGGACGCTTAGGCTGAGCAAATTCAATGAGACAATTTATATAAAAAGAGCAGGATTTATAAGAAAATCTTCTCAGTTGATTACATGTTATTCAACATAATTCAGTATGACAGGTATACAAAGTCAGAATGTGGTAAAAGTCTATCAAACAATGCGACAAAAGGAAAAAATAGCTCACATTCTCGCTAATGTGCTCTACCTACTTCTTTGTGGACATCACTGAAAAGGCTAATTTGAGCAGACTAATCCAACAGCGACACACAAAAGCAGGGGCTTAAATCGTTTGAACTTTTTCTGACACACACAGGAATACAATTTATCATTCAGAGGATAAACATTATTCCCTGCAAACTGAACATAGGAAATAGCCTGCTGCTGCTGAATAATATAGACCATTTCAGGCTGCTTTTTGGGCTCCTATTTGTTTAACCTCTCCGCTTCTTCAACTGGAAGTAATGGGATTTATGCATTCATTCTTAGCGAAATAAAGTGGCATTTGCACAAATCTGGCCTTTGTTCAGAAATGCAACGACAAGCAATTGGGAAATTGCAAAGCCCCGTTGCCGGTCCAGCCAACAGTTCATACATGTTAATGAGACGTATCCTCTGTGCTATAGGCCTTGTGACAATGTCCTTTAAGAACCTGCAGTAGGAAAGCCTCTTCCAGTCATTGTGTTCTATTTGATGTGTTCATCTGGGAGATGATGAAGGTGTTTACATTAATATGCTGTATACCTTTGCACTCATCCGTCATGGTGCAGTTTGATCAATATAATAAATTGTTCTAATTTTCAAAATATTTGTTTGTGAAAAGTACTTGAATTGATATTTGACTTAAGTGTAAGCAATTCTTTTTTTTTTTCTTTCATACAATTATTGATATTTCTTCGTGGATTAACATGGAGATTTGTGTGATCCCTTGAATTCCAGCATGAAACACCATTTATCAGTTCATCCAAAAAAGGTGTTGGTATTGGCTTTCTAAAACCTGCAGCTGTTCAACGCTATTCTGAAGCCGTCTAGCTCGTGGCTCGGGGAGCCGCTCATGAAAGGGCCTCGCTGGGTCCGATTCCCAGGCTGCGCGCCGCTCTCAGTCTGATCAGCAGCCACAGCGTACGGCTGCCGTGGGGCCGGGGCTGCACCTCACGTGTCTCTCAAGGCCAAGATAAACCTCCCTGTGCTTGGAACCACAATCCTCCCACTCGGGCCTGGACCGCTGGGAAACTCCTCACAATCAACAAACACAGGTGTGCGATAATTATGGGCTGCCTACTCAGATATCAAGACGGGCTTTCCTCCCCTATATGTGGGTTCAAAAACATTGCGGATGGGCTGCGGTGAACACAGGCCCACTGTGGAGAGTGGATATAACATTGAGGGACCCGGCATCATTGTCAAGTATGCCTGCAGTGCAGTGTGGGATTGGGCCAACAAGCAATATGAGCGTATCCATTACAGAACCTCAGCTGAAAAAGTGCACGGCCTGGAGGTGCATCGGCTCAGGCACTTTAAACAAATAACAGCCATCCACGCTGATTATAACATATTGTGATTCTCCTGTCTGATGGGCAGAGAGGAAGTGTGCTAATGTCTTTTTTGTGTTGAAATGTGCGGTGAGCTAATTAACACCAGATCCAATTTGGTTATTCTGTTCCTGTTTGCTTAATGTGAGGCTAAAATGTGTGCGTGTGTTCAACTTGTAGGGGTCAACACCCACAATTGTATCCTTATATAACACTGCCTTGACGAGCTATAATAGTAGGTGGGATCCGCTGAAGCCTTTCATGCAGTAGTGTAACCAGGGGACAAACCTTAACCAAGCATTATGCATAGGGAGGGTGAACAGCCTAGACAAGTTACCAGTTAATGAATAGGCTGACTCACTCGATATACACCCCAGTATCAGCCACCAATACTTATGATCTACACCTAACCTGACATGTATTCTTTTTTGGCTAAATGAAAGCACCCAGAAAAAATGTAAAAAACAAAAAGGAAAATGTGTGAGCTCTACACAGAACAGGACAAGATTCAAAACCATGTTAATTCAAAAAGGAAGGGCTATTTTCTATTCACACCTTTTTAAACAATTGTTTGTATAGGAGTGACTTACAAGACATGTTTAGCCAGCTCCACTTGTTTCATTAGGCCAACTGCTACTCACCATCATGTCAGTGATTGTTGAGCTTAAAATAACCTCCCAACAATATGAGCCCATCATAGGAGCCAGCTCTTTGCTAAGCCTCAAACAATAAAGGGTCAACAAGATGGAACACTTCAATGAATGGAGCACTAATGTTCTACTTCATCCGAGACAATTGTGTTAGATTAGAAGGAACACTCTGGTGTCTCTGTTTACCTACTGGCAACAAAAAAAGATCTATTTGCTTTTTCAAATTAAAACACGCCTGTCTAATAAAATGTAATCGTCTAAAACAAGGGTATAAAAGAGAATATTAAATTCAATTGTATTTAAATCATGTGGTGTACAGGAGTTAGGTCATGAACTTAATTTAGAACCGATGCACAGACTATAACGCACAAAACATTGGTATTTTGTGTAGCTTAATATGGCAAAACACATGTGGAAATGTGGCAAATAAATGCTATTTTTGTCTATGCTGTAATCTACTTATGACTGGAAAACTTCTGCAAATATTTTCCACTTCCTCTCAAAAGTCCCCTCTATCACCAGCAGCACGACAATGCATGAGTATGAACTGGAGTTACAAGAACATCAATGCTTATGACAAATGGGCTTAAATGCTTACATATGAAAAGTACTATATCAAATGTAAGATTGAAAGAAAACTAAATGTAGTGGCATCCAAATACCACAACATTTGATTATTGTACAAACTAATGAAGAAGCTCATATGCTTGGTAATCTAGTTTTTATCAGGATCAAGTATTCATTTCTTCACACAAGTACTATCAAATAATATTCTCTTTGCGAATATCTCTATGGCTATATGTAGCAGTGATTTGACACGATAACAGAGATGTCAAATCAAAGGAGACATTTTGCCAAAACATGTTACTCTAAATAAAACACAATACAATTATATGGTGAGAATTTTGAAAGTCATCTTATTTTAGACTGATGATTTGCACATTTCAATGGGTGTGTAATATATTCACTACCTGAAACTATTTAGCGTGAAATCCACGGGAAAAAGTAATCTAAGCATGTTGAAATGTACGGCTTGTTGTGAAACAATATGCCTTGAGGTTAGTTCTTTGAACAGTTTATGATACTTACTCAGTTTTCTTCCGTTCCTTGTTATCGAAGATTTCATTGAGGCTGATGGACCTTTGACCCAGGAACTTGTCCATCCCAACCAAAGAGCGGTGCATCACGATAAAGCAGAGTTCATATACTTCTGGGTTCCCCTCCAAAAGTAACCCCGGTAACTCAAAGGAGGCTTCCTCTCTCCAGACGGGGTTAAGCGTCTTCTCTGCCACCGATGTCGAGTACTTTTCCTTGCCCAGCTGAATGATAGTGTAGGCATCGTTGGTGCCATTTTTGCCCTTGGCCTGTAAACTGGTTGATTGAAGAACAGTGGCTTGGACATGGGTTGGAAACCACTTTTGAGACTGCTCGGCCAGTGACATGGTTATCAACTGAAAGCCATTCAAAACTAATTAATTATAATGTATGCAGTTAGTGTTTTTCTGTGGATGTGATGTGCAAAATGCAACAAACATGTTTCACTATAGTTTGTTGTCCATGTCAGTGTGGTTTATGAGCCTACAGAAGCAATCATTTTGAGCAAGTCTGATCAATTGAGCAAGCCTCATCTTCTGTCAAATCAGATGTCCAAGCCACTTGTGAGTCATCTGAAAAAGCACAAAAAGAAACAGAACAGCATTCAGTTTCTTTCCCAGAACCATTACATGACTCATGTGGGTGTAGAGGCTACATTGATATTAAGCCAGATAATATTTCCTCCAGCTTTGATAGCAGTCACTTGCACAAACATGTGATTTTAAAGTAAACACACAGAAAATCAAGACTGAAACAGAGGTACATGTATGCTATATGATGTTGTACACCTGCTATAAACAGATCTCCCCGAGCTGGAGTATCAGGAAACTGGTGATCTCATGCAGTGACTCATTTGGGTGCTGGTACATTGTCACTGATTCAGCGCCATGGTCGTTTCATATAGTACCTACACATTACTTGTATTTGGTTACAGGGTTGAAAATAGGAACATGTATTCCTAGTTATGTAAAATGATTATTACGAGTGGTGTCAAAGTGATTTTGTCACTACCCATGAGCAACTCTAGGTTTTATCTTAAGGTGACTCATCTCTAAAAGGTCTGTTCTTCAACTTGAAAGTGTGTTTCATTCATAAATCTGACGTTGCAGGACAACTCAGCTGTATGTTACTGAACTGACAGAGCCACGTGAAACCTATTAGTCCTGGATGTACCTTTAACTGAGCATCTTTCCAGAGATTCGTCCAAGAACGGAGCTAGTATTTAACTCATTTCCAATATATAGTTAAACATTGAAGCAAATGTAAACACTAAATTGCAATACTAAATGATATGGTTAAAATGGAGCTTTGTTATAGTTGTTACATTCTGCAGAAGAGCGTTAGATAGATGCAGCTAGCTAGCTTCAGAGCTAGCAGGCACACAGAGCATCACACACACAGCTGCTTACCTCGGTGTCATGTTGTACCGACACTTGAAGGACATTCAGCACCTCAGCTCAGCAGAGACAGACTTCACAAATACATTCATGTAATGGTCCCTTAGGAAATTGGCCGCTAAAGTTAGTTGTTGCTGCTGCTGTTGCTGTTGATACTCACTTCTGTCGGCCAGCGGCGAGCTTTACTTCCTAGTCTGACGTCACTTCCTCATCATCCCGGTGGAAGTTCAAGCAACATATCAAAAATAAAAGGTGATCGCACTAATAACTGCGGTTACAAAGGTTCTAAAATTAAGACTAAAAAACATTTCTTATAAAGTTAAATTCTGTGCAAAACATTTTTAATAAATAAAAACACTAAAAAGGAAGAACAATTGATGCATTCAGCTGTAGGTGTTGAGTTGTGGCTTTCCTGCACAGGTAAGCAGTAATGAGAGGCTATATGCTGTACATAATTGTAGCTAACACTCTCTCCCCTGTAATATATGGTTATGTATGTGCGTGTGAGTCTGCCTGTGCTCGGGGGGTGCACTTTACTTGAGAGGTAAATCATACAAACATGGGAAGTGCTTTTGTCTCATGAGTGGGACATGGAGGTGCAGATAAGGGGTTCACTTGAATGAACACAGACATGCTTGTCACCCCTCTTGACAAGTGCATCTTAACCAAACACACCTGCCTGTGTTGGTTTTATCATTCTGCCACAACCAGTGCAGTATGTACACACCACTGGCCTGAGGCTCCGGCTGGGCCATCCATCAAACTGAGATTATTGCACTTATCTAGAGTACATCTCTGAATGAAATGCTGAGGCTTAGTGAAATATTAGGCTGTACAAAAATGTGAGTCAGATAGCATTTAATACATTTGAGGATATCGGCCTCATGTTTTGAATTAGCCGTTTAGGTGTAAACATTGTGTGAATAATGAGTACAATGTCACTTTGTAACTGTATAAAGGATGTGACAACATTTAGGATTTAGGTATCACACTTTAAAAAGGGCTTTTTATACAGTAGCTCTTATTAAAGGAATTACATTTTTAACCAGAAGATACTTCTATTATTTAAACAAAAGCAATAATTATTATATATGAACAACTAAATACATGGCAATAAAACCATTCTTATCATTCAGTTTTCCCCTTTTATATCCTGCGATGGTTTTGCTCCAATTTACCAAATGACATTATTGTAGATGTATTGTGCCTCATTATATACAAATGTCCTTAAAATGTAGCCTATCATATTTTATAGAAGGATTTAAAGTTGGCAATTTGATGGAACAAGATGTAAGATGACTCAAATTCTACTAAAATAAACATGTCAATTCAACCAGCTATAAAAAAAACAATGCATCGTGGGTTTGCACAAAGTTTGGTAGCACTGCATGAGTTTATATAACAACAAAAAATGGCCAGACAGCATTTTGAACGTTTTGGCTCTTGTTCTCGAGTGATTAATGGCTTATAGGGACACATTTGAAGATTGTGACAAGAGTTTGTTTTCAAGTGAAGGCAAGATCTGATTAGCCTTTCCAGTCTATAAATGGAGTATGCTCAAACAGCTCCGTGTGTTTCCGAGTTATCCAGTCCCATCTCTGATCCACTACTCACATTCAGGCACATTTTATGATCGGTTATGGTTAGCCTTTTCGGCTTGAACTGAATAAAATAACGACCAGAGGAATGTTTATACACCATCGGGGTCATGAAACGCTTCCTTCATTTGACAATAAGTCAAACACTTTCATATATTACCCCGTATAGGAACATAATACCACTGTACTGGTGCTTTGTGAGATAAGACATGAAAGACACGGCGTTCCAACATCACTTGAATCTTTTTATTACCCTCCTCTATGGAGAATACATTGGTCGTATAAAAACAAAACATCACGCTATAAATTAAAGTAACCTGGTCCACTTTCTGAGGGAATAACGCTGAGGGTCATAAACTGTCCGACATGTAAGTGAACCTGCATGCATGGCGGGGTCCACATGTTGAACCATATTAGCTGTGGCCCCCTAACGGCTGGGCCTCCATCCATCCCATGCACATGGTTCTGGTTTAGATCCCTTTCTTCAACACTAGATAGGTTGTATTACATTTATTAAACACTTTAAGAAATCTCTGGCTGTAAGATTGTCCATCTGTTGAGGACAAGAGAAAATATATGAAGAGGCACATGAGGTGGAGAGGGGAGGAAACAGTTTGTGATGTCAGTGCCGGTCTTAATGTGGTGCAGGTCTGAGCCTGGACGGATGACTGATTTAAAAGGTATAGCTTTTAGCCGAGTAGGTGAACAGTTAGATCACAGGTGAATTTTAATAAAAAAAGAAGGAGAAAGGCACACAAATCACCTCTGCTTTGCTCTCAGGAATGTTTTTGTGCACAGCTTTGATATATAGGTGCAGATGTGCGACTGCAGCGTGACGAGCACAGAGCTTAAAAGGCCTGCTAAGCTGGGGCAACATTGTCAGGCCGGTTTACTCCATTAAGGCCTTGATTTCTACCTTGTAACCTAAAAAAAAGTAACTGAAACTAACACCAAGGAATAACGGCAACATCCATAATTCACTGTTCAATGAGCTTTATTGACGATTGAGAAGCAACAGTGAAATCTAAAGGTCCTATTGATAATATTTGGTGGGGTTTCTCGCCAGATTCAAAACCTTATCAATAAACAAAATCCCATTAATTCTGAATCCAAGCATCCAATTAGCACGGGTTTGTTTGTGCAGGAGGTGTTCCCCTTTTGCATGTCAATCATACTATGTGCACAGCTCTCTACTCTGCAGATAACACAAGGTCCCTTCTTCTATGGTTTACCATATCTGACCGGCAAAGCTGTGCAAAATATTAGCCCAGCTGGACGAGTCAAGATTCAAGATATGTTATTGTCCTTGTCATAAAGTGATGGGGGATGAGACTATGGTCAGGTCTACTACAAACATGATTGCCCTTTTTCGTGGGGAAAATGTACTGTAGTCACCTCAAGTGATTGAATCAGAGATATTCATGTAAACAGTGAGGCTAAAAAAGAGCTTGAGATCAGGTGCTGCAACAGCTTTGACCAGCTATGTCATGGACTGTCATGGTGAAGACATGACATCTACATTCACACCCTCACAGATGGCATTGAGCTCTGGATAGTAACTGATAGGCGATCACAGAGAAGCAGCTGAGTTGAGCTTGGTTCCAACAGCTCTCTCTCAAGGGCGAGGGAACTCTCATAGAACCCCTGCTCCTTCACGATGAATCATATTGCATTATCGTTCAGGTATCTGATCAAATGCCTCGTGGACACCTCCCTGTTGGACATGCCTGACATGTCTTTACAGGGAGGGGTCCATGAGGCCTCAGAACATTTCAAATCAACACCCTAAAACAACATTTGAAATAGTATATATCTAAGATAGTTTTAGAATTGTGCACTGTATATACAATTGCCCTGCCAACACTTTAAGACATTACATATCTAAATAACGATCAGACTTAAATATACTTTCAAAAAAAATACTACATTTAAAAAAAAAAGAAAAGAAAGTTGTCTTTCTGTTTGCAGTTTGACAAATAAAATGTACATACATTCAACCATTCAACTCCTCAGAAACAGATGACATTGCTTAAAAGGGTAGAGCCTAAACAATCATTTCAGCGGCTTTTATATTCTATAAACCCAAGAAAACAGATACAGATATAAGCCTGTGCAGTAGGCCTCTGTGAAATGCATTCCTATGCACAGTTTAATGTCAGCAGCACACTCGGGGGTCATGTTTTGCGGGGCAGGAGAACAGGTGTCGACCCTGCAACAGTACGAACACACTCTTCCAGGCCAGAGGAAGCACCCACACGTGTATGCCCCGCAGTCAGCCCCGTACAGGATGAAATAATTCATCAGAACTGTTCAGAAGAGACGTTGTGAGGCAAAGTTCAGAGGCATGCTAATGACAAGAGCATGTTCGCAGGGAAAAGGAAAAACTGTCAGCTCTGAATGAATTGGGAACGGCAGAACAGAGGTTAGGCCATTTCAAACTCCTTATATCTCTGTATAATCTGTGTAGAGGGCTTGCAAATGCCTGACAGAAATTGGTGGTTTTGTAGCACATGGCTCATGCATTATTTTATGCTCTCTTGACTCGTATGGATTTCTTGAGTCCAGTTCTTTACAGCACAGCTTATTGGATATTCCAAGATGAAAAATGTTGGATAAAGAATGTTGCTTTCTTTCAAACCCCTGTCAATGCTTTTTGATACATATTTATATTCAACATATGGACTACTTTTTTCTAAAACCCTGCTGCTGAAGACAGATTTTTTCAATGTTAAGTAAAAAATAAGCAACTGCATTTTTAAGTGGAATGATTTAAAGTAATGAATGTACAACACGCTCTAAATGACTCCCTCAAGATTAACATTTGTTATGGAATGTATGGTTTCCAGGCATTTGCATAGCCAATAGGATATATGTGTATGTATGTGTCTTAACTTAACAAGCAGTGAGACATTTAAATGTAAAACAAATACTGCATTCGGAGAGAGTGCGCATTAAATAAACATACAAATATAAAGTAGTATTACCTTAGCCCTACAGAGAAAACGAGTGGGTGCATCATTACGTTCAGCAGTCTTCAAAGCTCGAAGCAGAATCAGCTTATTACCAGTTTCTACAAGGATAAACATCCCACACAGCCACTCAGTCTGCACAGTTTTATTGCAATTTGCCTATATTAAGTATCAAATTAACATTTTCTTCTAAAAAACATGTATATACAACACCATTTAGCAGAGTCAGACTTGCGTTTATTTGAGATGAAACTTGAATGATTCCTGAAGAGACACTGGTCCTTAAAACTGGAACAGAAGAAGTAATGACAATTGGGATAACATAGTATTTATAAATATTCAAGGTTCAAGGTTCTTTATTTGTATAAATGGTCTGCATATTTTGTCCATTTACTTACATTTAATATTTCATCATGTTGTCTTATTGTCATTGCAATTGCACAATAAATTAAACAGATATAGTAGTTTATGTCAAATAGGACACGATTGATTAATACAATTGAATTGCACGTTAAACTGGGCCTATAATAAATAACATGTAGGGTGTAATATGAGGCCTTTGCGTATTAGTTAGTCATTTAAGATCGCAGAGTTTTTTTGCATGAATTAGTTAG